CTAGGAGAAAAGTGGTCGTCTGACGCAGGTGACCGTCTTACACAGAGTCATTAGAATGTGAAATTACGAAAAGGAGGAAATGGGAAGTGGCCGTTTGTACAGGTGATTGTCTTATACAGGTGTCCGTTTGTAAAGGTGATTGTCTTATACAGGTGTCCGTTTGTATAGGTGATTGTCTTATACATGTGGCCGTTTGTACAGGTGATTGTCTTATACAGGTGTCCGTTTGTACATGTGATTGTCTTATACATGTGGCCGTTTGTACAGGTGAATGTCTTATACAGGTGGCCGCTAAAGCATGGCATAATTTGCTCAACTGTAATTTCATACAGATTTTTTAACTCTGTCGTTTTTTAAAACTGAAACTTAAATAGGCAGGCACCAACAACATAGTGGAACAGTCCCTGGAGTTGAACTCCCAGTTGATCGTCAACTTCCTTGGCTCTTACAAGGCCTTTGACAACATAGATCAACACTATGGAAGATAATGAGACATCACGGAATCCCACAGAAGTTGGTGAACCTCATCAAGAGCATGTACGAAGGGACAGGTTGCGGGGCTATACATGATGGCCAGCTCACTGACAGCTTTGACATCAAGACCGGTGTCAGACAAGGATGTTTACCATCATCTTTCCTCTAAATATAGGCAATCGGCTGGCTGATGAAGGAAACCACCAGAGGACACAGAAACGGCATACAGTGGACCCCATGGACACAGTTGGACTATCTGGATTTTGCAGATGACTTGGCGCTTCTGTCACACACTCAGGAAAAGATGCAAGCAAAGACAACAATTGTTATTTTAAACAGCCTGTCAGAGTCTGTTGGAATGAGGATCCACCCCGGAAAGTCAAAAGTCCTAAGAATGGATGCACTACGAAAGGAGCAGGTCACAGTAGAGGGAAATGCACCAGAAGACGTCGAATCCTTCTGCTATCTTGGCAGTACAATTGACAGAGAGGGAGGAACAGGCGCTGAAATAAAGTCCCGTATTGGAAAGGCACAGACTGCATTTATTTCTTTGAATAGGATTTGGAGGACCAGGGATATCTCACTATGAGTAAAACTGAGGATTTTCAACACAAATATACTTGTAGGGGTTATGTTGAAGAGAAAATGTATGTCCCACCACTTCCAGCAAATACTGATAACATGAAAGATCTAATAACCGTTACAATCTACCCGGTGGACTGAGACGTCCTGAGGCGCATTTGAGAAGAGTTCTCCTATCTCTTGATGTTGTCCCTGCTGCCAGTGGTGGCCACATTGAGCACTTGGAAAACATGATAGAAAAAATTGAAGTTGAAGTTTGTACACCACATATGTCCAAGGAAAGTGCTAGATTGGAACCCACAGGGTAAAAGATCAAGGGGAAGACCACGTGTCCAAGATAGATTTTTCTATTGTTTTTTTGGTGGTTTTTTGGTGGTTTTTTTAACATCGCGTGATGATTTTGGCGTACCCTTTTCGAATCAATCTGTATTTTAAAAAGTCGTTACCGCATCCGATCCGGACATTGGGGGATTGCCTTGTTAGTGAAACAACTTCCTGGGCCCTCGGCATCAGGTACCCATTACTGTTGGGTGGGCAGGAAGGGGCGAAAAAAATCCGTGTCCGGACCGAGGCTCGAACCCGGACTTTCCGCTTCGGAGACGAGTGCACTAACCACTCCGCCACCGCATCCTCTAAGTATAAGTAAGTTTCTTATTTGTGTGCGGTGGTTCTGAAAGTGCTGCAGGAAACATTTCTTTTGGTTGGATGCTGATCAGGAAATCAGGATGCCAGCTTCGTCCTGAAAGGGTTAACAATGACAATGACAATGATAATAACAATAACAACAAAAATGACAATGACAATGACAGTCTTTATTCATCTCGCAGGGAGAAATTTGTCTTGGTCGTTTACAATGGAAGTAGACGTTACAAAGGTTAGGTGCACTCACACATACGCACGACACAACAGGACTTTAGTAAATACATCATGTCTCACGTGCTGGGACAACACGCTCCGTAAAACATTCTCTCTCTCTCTCTCTCTCTCTCTCTCTCTCTCTCTCTCTCTCTCTCT